ATGGGGTAAATACAGGTACAGTTCAATGCTAGGAACCTGTGTCTTAATCCTTAGACTGCTCAGCATCAGGCCCCTTCCGTCTTCTCAAAATTCAGTTTTACAATGAAATTTCCCTTCAGGAAAAAGGAACCTCAGTATTTGTAAGAGTGGGGTTTTTCTAAAGAAAAGGATGTCCTATTGGCCATTTCTGGGAGGTGTTAGGTGAGCAAAATACTGGGCAAGAAGCTTATTCATTGGGACTTACTCTTCTCTCAGGAATCCCTGTGTGTTGCAGAAGGGGTGCCCTGGGTGAGCTCTTACTGTGTAAATGCCACTGCTCCAGGGTCCTTAAAGAGCTCATTTGCTGTAGCTGGTAAAACCTCTTTGCTTCCAGCAGTCATAGCAAATAGATGGTTGCTAAAGGTGACGTTGGATTGCTCAAATGGAGAAGAAGAATGGGGAGAGGTAGATGTGGCGCCACGTGAAAGGGAAAAGCATCTCCAGCCTGGATCCCAGGGGCACGTGGAGTGAATGGAGTAAGTTTTCTTGGAGCAGACCTGCCAAACTCAAGTGCGTTTCTCGTGCTCATTAACGCTGGACTTTAAGAACCCGATAAGAATGCAATATAAAATCAAAGAGCCCCTAAAGACTCTGAGATTATATTTAATACTCTCCTATCACCAGCCCCTGAGTGCTTGGCAAGAGAAACGGTGACATTTACTAATCAGTACCCTCTCTTATTTGTCTTGGCTGGAAGTCTCAAGTCCTCAGCTTATTGAAGTTACTACAAATGCTCTCCATTAGATTCTGTGGAACTTCCTGGTATTTGCAGTTGAACTCGATGGCAGTGTCATGGAGGAGTTATGTCCTTAAGGGGTGACACAGAGCTTGCCGTGTCATGTATGTAAATGGGGTGTGTGTTTTATTCTTAATGCTTAACATTAATTTTCCTTCTTAACATTAACGACCCCCAGCGCTTTCCTGCTCCTTTCTGGATGCACAGGTTTGTTTCATGTCATGATCAGGAGCTGTTTCTTACTACAAGGTGGCTTTGGATGTTCCTTTCTTTTGAACACCCTTTGGAATCACCTGTAATGGTTCAGCTGATGTAAGCTGCATTTTGTTCTCCCAAAAGCTGGCAAACAGGAAGAATCCCTGTAAAGCCACAGCAAACACAAGGCAGGAGCAGGTGCAGAGGTGCTCCCCATGGCAGGGCACCACTGATTCCCTCCTGATTTTGGTCACTTTTCCTGCAGCACTGGACCCCCTTTTGTTCAGACTTTCAACTGAGAAATAAATGGTTATCAAATGGTCTGTGGAGTGCATACCATGGCTTTGCAGGCTGTTACTGGTCTGCGAACCACAGTTTGGCTGCTCTACAGTGTTCCCAATTGTACTGGGGTTGCCCTTAGCAGTGAATGGTTAGTTTATTCTTTATACTCTTTTCAGCCCTTGCTTGTTTCTTGCCAGTCAGAGTTGTGCTGTTCATCCTCCTTCACTCGCCAGCCAGGAGAGGAAATTCTTCCTCCTAGACAAGAGCTTTCCTCTTAATTCTGGGCACATTCGTTTCAAATTCCCAAGGCAGGATATTGAAAATTTCCTCAAGTTAACAGGGCTTCACAAGTTCCCTTACTATAGAAAATGTGAAATTTTGGTAAATTGGTGGCCAGAAAGTGCTGTAAAATCCCTGGATTTTATAAATTTCAGCCAATGGGAAAAGTTCCCAAGTGCTGAAATGGGTTTCTGTGGGTTCCTTCTCCCTCTGGCTGTACTGTGAAAGAGCATCACTGCTGTGACTTTGCTGTTGGATGGTTCTTAGCTGTTCCATTATGGTATGATATGTGACATATGATATGATATACCCAGACTGATTTAAACATTGATGTGCTTCAAGTCTTACTGACTTCAGTGTTGATGTATTAAGGTCTTACTAGAGGAACAGATGACAGTGCAGAACATGTTAGTGAAAAGTGCTGTTATCTGCTTCTGTGGAATTATGGGGCATCCTCTTCTGTTTCCAACTCGGAGCAGCCATGGAATTCCTCCTTAAAAATCAACATTCACAGGGATGCAGCAGGGGCAGGTTCTGGTCTGTCATCTGCGCTGTCAGAGCCTGCTGAAGGCATCAACCATGCTGGTTTCAGTTTGGGTTTTGTGGGTTTTTTCCTTTAAATGACAGTTTATCTGAGCTCAGGGAATGAATGGATAACGTTACTATTTACATAAGCTCATTGTGATCTGTCTGGGTAATGTAATCAAATTAGGGTTAACTGCAGCTGGAGAATGCCAGCTTGTAAACTGTTTTTCAAAACGAATCACATGGTGTTACTTGACATGTTTAGAATACATTCGGGAGGCTTTGCACAAATTATAGCACATCCCGGGCTGGTGGGACCGAGGCAGGATTCTGTTGCCACCAGTTCGCTGAGCCCAGGAAATGGGATGTGGGGAACCATCAGCAGGCAGAGGAGATGCAGCCCGGAGGGGACCCTGCACCCCGCGTTTCCTGGCGGCTGCTGCTGACACGTTGTCTGTCTTTTGGCTAAAAATCAGCGTATCAGTTGATAGGAAAAGCATCTGGTGTAGATTTGGGGGACGTTTAAGAACATCTGTGTGAACTGCCAGAGCGCGGCCGCTGCACACACCAAGCCTCTATTTAGTCTTAGGGCGTTCTGCGTAAGATGAAGTCCAGCCTGAGCTGAACTTACCCCATGAGTAGCTTTTCAAAGCATCTTTTGTTATTCTTAGTAATAAACATCGCATCTGGTACTTACTTTCCCTCTCTCTCCCTTTCCCATTGAATCAGGAGGTACTTTTTGCATCAACAGCACTGCAGTGTCCAGTTCTTTTGCTGTGGGGAGTGATCTCAGGTCTGTCTCTGAGGACATCAGGCCATGTGCCATGTCCAAGCTAACTTCGTACCATACTGTTGAATTCTGAATTAACTGTTGAATTCTGGACATAACCCTTATCATTTTTAAACTCCAGGGTTTTCAACTGCAAAGGAAGGATGGGAAATGCCATTTGAAGTTGCTCCTGGTCTCCCACTACTGGTAAAATGCCTGTTCCCACACAAACTGTTCTGATAGTTTGCATGGGGAGATGGTTCCATCAAATCTAAAATACATCCTGGCACTGGGGTTTGTTTCCCCACAAGTTCTATAGCAGAAGGAAAGTGAGCAGATATTTCACCTTGTCAAAACCCAGCCAGTTTACAGTGCTCTTCATGACCAGGTACATAACCAGCCCCTGATGCTTTCCCATGGAAGTATTTGAATGTGATGAAATACTTCTTACAGAAATTCCGTTCCCTCAGAATGATGAAATTTGGGATTTGCTCTGAATTGAGATGGGGGAAAAATCCTCTTTGAGCGGCAGAACTTGCCCCTTGCACACAGATCTGTCCAAACCAACACAAGGAAGCTTGTGTTGGCATTTAGATTCAGACTCAGGAATTCCTGACTCTTAAGCCTGTTTATACAGGACTATACCACAGCCCCATTTGCACTTCATTTTAGGGTTTTTTTCTTTCCCCCTCTACATTTATGGCCATGTTGAGCGGGTGGATTATGCACTCCGAATGCACATGCTTAACCAATTGTATTGAATGCTGTTTTGCATCTAATAATTACAGTTAAGTGTCTTCATTTGGAAACAGCAGCCTTCCATGAAGGCTTTCAAGTCCTTTAGCACAGGCATACTTATATTACAGCTCCGAGAGTTTCATGGCCTAATTGTAAAGGTTTGGGGGGTTGAATGCACCTGGATCCACAAGTGCTCTGGGCTTGGGAATGGCCAGGGATTCCCCAGCAACCTGGAGATGCGTGCTCCTGATGCTTCCAGCAATTCAGGGTGAGATTTCAGCACGTGGATGCACACATACAGCGTAGGAAGCCACGGGTTCGAACTGCTCTGGTGTTCACCTCTTGCTCCTGTTTGCTTTCAGCTGCTTTCTGAACCGCAGCTTCAGTATCTATTAGAGCAGCTGTAAACCAGGGGCTGGTTCAGGATCCTTGCTGTGTAGAACACGACCCGTTGTTATTGCAGCTGAGCTGGGAGATGTGTGCCAGCACTTTGGAAGTCTGTGAATTGGTCCATGTCACCTGGGCATGGTCAGGGCTCCAAGAGCTTGGGGCCAAACCCTCAGCTGCGGAAACACAACGGAGCTTCTTTGGGCCTTCATTTATTGCTGTGATTATTTTAAGGGAGGTTCCATTGCAGTGTATAGCCATTCTCATCATATCTTGGGTTTCCTGGCATTTGGATTTCAGTTCCTTGGAGCTTTTTTCTGCTATTTGGTAGCCAGAATACATTGCCTGGGTCTGGAAGTCCTGAGTACCTTGACCCCATCTTAGTACTGGGTGGATGTTAAACCTGAGACACCTGCGATTCCCGTTGAGGGCAGTGAAGCTACTTAATATGGGTCAGGCTGCTTGATCAGGTCCTTGTTGAGTGCATTTATCCTGATGGGGCTGTGGGGCATGATAGAAGATGGAGGTACTTGACCCCACTGACCTCGATCTAACCTGAGGTAAAGCACGGCAGTGGTTTCATGACTTGTGTCACCACTCCTCTGTTGGAGGAGGCACTAAGGAGCTTCCTGCACAGCTGCTGGGAGCACTGAGGTACCAAAGCATCCCATGGTCAGTCCCTGCCACTGGGACACACTGCTGGTGTGGTGCTGGCACCACAGTCTGCTCTGGGGGCTGCGCTTTTGGACAGCCCCCAGGTGTGCATCCTCTGAGTGCTCAGAGCCCCCATCACCTGCCACTGGGGAAGAAACGCATCTTCCCATCGGCTGAATCTAAAGAAATCACTTGCAGGAGTTACAGAGAACGTTAAAACTTGTGGGAGAGAATGATGGTAGTTCTGGTATAGTCCTTCCATCTGGCTCCTAAAACATCCATGTTGCTCCGTTGCAGTTGGGAGTTTTGACCTATAAAACCAAGGAAACAAACCGTGTGTTCTCTTACAACAGTTGCAATTCAACTGAATTCTGCTTCTGTTTTGTTTTTTCTCAGCAAATGCTGACTGATCCCGAGGTGACCTCCCAAGAGGGCAACATAAAAAAGGTAGGACATGGATCAATCTTACCCAAACTGTTTTACTGCCTGGCTTTGAGGTGCAGCTCGGCACTTCATCTTCTCCTCCTGCTGCTGAACAGAGGTGTGTGTCGTGACAGCGTCCTAAAAGGTTTCCAATATTTGCTGCTGCTTTTCTGGATGAAGTGTTGTGCTGCTGTTGGCATCTTTTTCTGTCTTCTTGTGATTCCAGTCCTTATGAAAAAGAAAAAGGAGTTTAAAGTGCTCCTTGATTCAGCTACAACATAAACAGCTCCGAGTCCAAAGTGAAAAACCTCATTTACCTCTTTTCCAGTAAAAGAAAATGTTGGTCCTTTGTTAAAAGTGCTAAATTTTTAGAGGTCGCCTCACCATGTAAATGTGGCTTATGTGGAGTCCAAGGGAAAAGGAACAGATATATAAAAGGATAAAGTTTAACTCATGTGATGTATTACCAGTGCTTTTCATCACATTGTGATGCTTAAACTGTAATACTGACCAGAGAAAAATGTGTTCCAAATACAGCCCAGCTGTCTAAATCTCTTCCTAGTGGCTGTGGGGCAGCCTCAGCGCTGCATACTTCAGTAGCCAGGTTGCTATTTTGGTTGAGGTTATTCTCAGTAACACTAAAATCACATTATTTCCGTGGCTGTCTTTTGGTTAACAGCTTTACTGAAGTGTTACAAGTCGTATTGGCCGATGGGCTCCCTAGATGTGTCTGTGTCTGTGTTGAGATGAGGAGGTGGCTGTCCTTTGCATCTGTAGTTGTCTCATAGCGAGTATTCACAGTGCTCCTCATAACATAGGACTGTTTGAAAGCAGAAGGTATTTTAAACTGGGACTTGCAGCAGCTGCCATTCTTACTCACCCAGTGAGGTGAGCATCAGTGCTGCTGCTGAACTGAAAGCTAAAAGGAAACACTTGTTTCCCTCTGCCAAACAAAGTGAAATGTAATACTTGTCCGGCTCCAAAGTCAGTTTGGGAAAAGACATTCAGACCCGTGTCCGGTGCGGAGCGACTGTTGTACCACGTGGCGACCCCCAGCTTTGCCTTGGAAAGCCAGGCTCCCAACATGAAACATCCTTTGACCATCCCATGACCTCGCGAGGGACCTGTCGCAACACTGCTGAACTTTTTACCTTGTTCATCTCCATAACTCATGGGGTGCTGGTCTCTGCCTCTGTGGGATCCTTTTGTCTGGACAGACACAGTGACAAGGTGGCAGGTTCGTATTATCACAAGGCGCTTGTCAGGCGGATGGGGGAATTCTGCCCTGCTCAGCTGGCTCTTTGTCAGTCTTTAATTACAGCATCACAAATAAACTCTGTGTCCCTACCTCGCAGAATCTGCAGGACCCTAAAGAGAGCGGGCTGTGTGTGAGGCAAGGGTAGGAGGAAGCCTTAGACTGGCAGCTTTACGTGTGCGATACAGGGGTTTGTATTTAAATCTCGTTTTATGTCAGATGAGAATGTTGCAGGAGCTGCAGGTCTTTGAAACGTACCGTGTGTCCTGAAATCTCCCCCTGTACAGCAGGTACAGAACTGGACAATTAGGATATTTGACAAGGGGGGGAAGGACTGGCCTTCCACTTGTGTCTTTTAAATGCATTGTAGAGAAGCACTAGTGGGAGTTTATGAGGTGATAAATTTATTGAAGGATGGGCAGTAGGGTTTTACAGCTCGGGTAAGAAAGGTCAAAGCAGTAAGGTAAAGAGTTCAAGTCTAAACTTTATGGCTTGTGACAAGACTGCTGCTAGACAGCTTTTCAGTCAAAGAAACTGAAAAATAAGGAATGAAGAATCATTCCTGCAGTTTTTGTGGTGCCTGGAATTGTCTGTAAGAGGTACCCGGGCATTCTGCTCCAGTGGCACAAAACCCTCCTGGGGAAGAGCTCCTTTTCCAGCCTCTCTAAATCACTCGGTTGTCATATCCCTGAAGACACAGGAGTTGAGATTTGACTTCAGTTTATTCCTGTTCCTTCAGAGATAAGTTGGTGCTGAGGAGGTGACTGAAGACAAATGTAACTGTAGTGGGTGGGCTGATTTAAACTAGGGGAGGAGGATGTTGGAACCAAACGGAGAGACCCCAGTGGTCAGTGTCTCCTTTGGCTGCTGCATCAGGGGTTCAGAACTGGGCAGTAACAAGAACTAGAAAGAGAAAAAAATCCCTAGAATTGAGAAATAATCTGTCATAAAAAGCAAATGGAAGTGGGGGGGGGGGGGGGGAGTGTGATGGTGTGAGAGGCAATGGTGTGAGAGGCACAGGAAGGTGCTCAGGAAGCATCCCTGCTTGAAAACTGCCCCGGTGTTTGTTCTGCTCTTCATCTGCCAGACCAAAAATGCTCTTAAATGACTGCTCATGCACTGAAAAGGCAGTGAAAAGTCTGAAGATGCAGCAGAGCAGGAGCAGACACTGTTGTTATACTGTACACTGAAACAGGCACAGGCACTGTTACACTGCACACTGAAACAGGCACAGACACTGGTATACTGTACACTGAAACAGGCGCAGACACTGTTCTTATACTGTACACTGGCTCAAAGCAAAATAAGAAGTATTATCCCACTGTGCCCAGTATTTTTGAGTTTGTATTAGTGTTATTTCTGCTGGGACCACTAACACCAGGGAGCTGATTTATTTGTTAGTGGTTGTCTCGCAAGAACTCAGATTTCTAGCAATGTTATTAAAGAACCTGTACCCAGGGTCATTTTTCCGTGTGTGGAAATGCCACTAAAACGTGGTGCGCTCTGAGTAAGTCTTCCTTTTATCTGCTGTGCTTGCTGATACTCAGTTTAACGTGCACAAATACACATCAGCTCCTCATCCTGCTTGTTTAATTTGCACGAATCGATTGTGGGAGTTGTGCTAAAATGGGAGATTCCCTCTTTTTAGTGACCTGAATGTGTGCGTTCAGATGTGCGCAGGTCCGTAAGTTAGACCTGGGGCTGTATTACCCGTGCTCCCAAACATCTCTTTTTTTGCAGGCCATCTTCCTGCAGCCTGTTTGTTTTGCTTAGAGAGCAGCTCACATGCTCCCTTGCTCTGCATTTTCTATGCTTCTCCACTGCGTTTAATACCAATGCCTTGTTACCATTATCTCCATTGTCATTTTGATTTAACTCTGAGAGGGAGATGAAAGGTTCAGACTTCCTCCGGCAGGAAGCAAGGCCAGTGTCCATTACAGGACACCTTTTTTCCCAAGGAGCAGTGCTGGCTGTATTTATCTCTCCTCTAAGTCACTTTGGCCGATGGTTCGAGAATCATGTTGAAGGAGGCTCTGTGCAGAGCTCCTGGCTGTGGTGACAAGAGACCTCAGGGACTTCTCTTCAGTAGACTCTCTATTTAGTTTCTGTTTACTTAGAGGGAATAGCCTGAGGGGCTACTGGAGAGAAAACATCTGTGGGAGATAATCTATAGAGTTATCTATCTATCACTCTTGTCGACCCTGTCTCCCTTGAGAGCAAGCTGAGAGACTTGTAATAAAAAGGCATCGCTGAAGAGGCTTTAGGGACAAATAAAGAGACATGTTAAGGGCCAGCTGAAAAAGGATAGAAGACATTATTAAAGCTCAATAGCCGTCTTATCAAAATCCAGTAGGATAGGCATTTGGCAAAAGGCTTTAAATTTATTCTTTGACTTTCTCGAGAGCTTGAATTTATCCATTAACAAGAACGAAGCGCGCAGGGAGCGGGAGATGCTATCAGCTTCAAAAGAGCGGGATTCAATCTGGCATTATACAAAACATGACAACAAAAACTGAAGGCAAAACCCATTTTTCCCCCCGCTTTGGCTGAGTTCATACTCAACACTGCAGAATACCAGAAGCTGGTAACATAATGCTGGTGTCACTGAGCGGAGGTAATTTGGGCAGCAGTGATTTATTCTCGACTCCCAACTCGCACAGATTGGTTTTAAAAACAAAGTTACTGTTAGAGAACTGAGTGAGATCAGAAATCCTGACCTCTTAGAGAGCACCACGTTGTAAACAGAAACCTGGGTGGCTGGAAAGCTTTTGCTTCTAAAACAAAAGTAGAAACCAACTGATGTTTTGCCACTGCAGATGCAAAGCGGGATGGGGCCATAAATCTCTCCAGGTTTATTATTATATGCAAAATGCTACAGGTCACAGGAACCATCTGATACTTCAGGAACACATTGTTCCCACAAGATGATTGATTGATAATTATGATAATTTGCAAAATGATTATTTGGGTATTATAACCATGGTTTGTCCCTCCGGATTGCTGTGAAGACATTTTCTATATCATGGGCCGTCAGAAATGGCCTCTGGCAACAAGGGATATGGAGAGGTCTGGTCGGTCTGTCCCAGCGGGGTCTGTAGGACTGATGAATGATGACCCAGAGGAGTAAGAAATCAGACTTCAATAAGCAGTCAGGAAGGTAGTTAGAGAAGAGCAAGGGAACTGTTAACTGTCTTTTGTGGAGCAATTACGAGCCGGGCCATACAGCCCCAGGCCTGAGCACAGCCTGTCAGAACATTATACATGCAGAGATTTCAACTGGAGCCTGCAAAGTTCTGGCTGTGCAGCACTTACACACAGTGCATTTGCATTTGGGAGCTACTAGGAATATATTTATTATCTATGCCTAATAAAGAGTATTTTACAACTGTCAGTCAAGATTTCAGAATCCAGCTTTCAGTGAGATTTGTTCACCTTTCAGTTGTGTATGCTGGAGAAGGAAACCCCCACTTGTAGTGGGGTTAAAACAGATTTCATACTGAGAATTCACACTGTTAACCAGAGCGATCTTTTTAATATCACCTGCTTTTGTGTGCTTAGATTGTGCTTAAGAAAGGAGAATGTGGTGTTGAAACACACCGAGAGCTTGAGGATGGTGCCCAGACCGGGGGGTAATGGTGCTCCCCAAACCCCTGTGAGGTCCTGTAACCAGCACGGTTGAAGTCCAGTTGTAGCACCATCACTGCCTTACAGTTACTGTTTCAGAAAGAGCTTTAATTTGCCTGGTTTATAGGTTGCATCTTTCCAAACC